GTCCTCGTGGCATTGAACTGGGTGCCAAAAAGCTGCATGCCGACTACGGAGAAAATGAAGACAACAATGGCCAGGACGACGGTGAGGTTTCCGAGGGCCCCGACGGAGTGCCCAATTATCTTGATCAGTGTGTTTAAAGTTGGCCAGGATTTGGCTAATTTGAAGACCCTCAGCTGTAAAAACAAACAACAGACAAAAATGGAAGAAAACCCAGTCAAGGACAAATGCCACCTGGCCCGCTATAAAGCGCATGACATGTTCCTAAACCAAGCATTCATGACTTTCAAAAATCTTTTCAAGGTCAAATTCATCCTGACTCCCTGTTCCAATCTAATACTCACCTGTGTCTACTTTTTGCTTTAAAAAAGGAAATATTTTCCTCTAACTTTTTAAAAAGATAAAAGCTTTGGAATAATGATACTGCCCTTGAGCATACATGTTTAGTATATAAAATGAATGACACAGAACGCTACGCAATATACCAGGAGTCACCAGACTATAACCTGTGGGCCAGATCTGGCCTGCTGCCTGTTTTTGTATGGTCAGAGGCTAAGAATGTTTGTATATTTTTTAATGGTTGAAAAAGAATAATAAAAAAATAATATTTCATGACACGGGAAAATTACATGAAATTCAAATTTCAGTGTTCATAAGTAAAGTTTTTTTGGAACACAAACATACCCATTCATTTACAAATACCTATGGCTGCTTTTAGGTCCCTGGGTGGTGCAAATAGTTTGCGCTCCACTACTATCTTCCCAGTGTGCCACGGAAGAAAGGCCTGGCGATACGCTTCCGTAAAGATTACAGCCAAGAAAACCCTACAGAGCAGTTGTACTCTGTAACGCACGGAGTCGCCATGAGTTGGAGTCTGCTCGATGGCGAGAGGTTTGGTTTGGTTTTGGGTGCTTTTGCACTACTGTGACTGAGTCGGGTAGTTGCAACAGAGACTATACAGCCTGTAAAGCTGAAACTATTTATCTGGCCCTTCACAGAATGAGTCTGCCAATCCCTACGTTATATAATCCAGGCCGCATGCTGGAATCTAAACTTCATGACAATGATGAGTAATATGAGGTTTCGTACCAGGAGAAAAAAGGCAACCAGAAGCTCAGGGTGAGAACAATTTTTCCAAAGAG